AAAAAAAGCCTCCGAGCCAGATGTTAGATTTAGCCTAGAAAACCTAGCTTTAAGACCTACATATTAACTTGCAATAAATTGATTTATGGTAATGTTAGTAAATAGGCAAAATTGAGATTAAGGAACACAAATAAGTTTGATCCTTCAAGTCGAATCTTTTTTATTTTTGGTCCTCCGAGCCGGATATCTTTTTTGGTCCTTCGAGCCGGATGTCTAATATTTTGTCACTGCTTTCCAGAACTGGGCAGAGATGGAGTTCGCGATTATCCAGCTGCTCGTGTTCCTTCTGCTGGCGGCTGTGGACGTGGGCACGGCGGTGTACGACCGCTACTGGCGCCACGCGACGCAGAACATCGGCTATGTGGCTCACTTGGCTGGCGCTGTCGCTGGTAAGACAATATGCATCTCATTAATTAGGTTAATGTGATGCATGTCCCTTTGTTTATCACCTGTCATAGCTGTCATCCACTTTGCACTAGAGGGAAGTCGAACCTTAACTTCGAACTCTTCCTATGTTCATCTGATTATTTTCGTTGCGGGTCCAATGAAAAAAAAAACGACTGTTTACCTTTCCCCGGGACAAACTTGACTTTCACTGGTTGGGATTGTTATTGGCAGTCTAGCTGTAGATCCTGGCTACACAGGAGTTGCAGCGGTGGGAACGAGAGGTGGAAATAATTCCGATCACATTAATTACATACTGTAATTTTGTTTTGAGTTTAGGTCAACGCATTATTGGTATACGAAGATATTTAAGGTTAAACGGCTTATTTCCACCAAAGCCTAGCTTGCACTTATTACGTATCACGTAAGTTTTAAATTGCTGTATTTGATTGAAAAAGAGGCTGACAAAGGTGGCTGAGTTTTTCCGCCACTTCTCAGCGCCAGCCCATATGTTGTCCTGAAGTGGTGGTAGGGCAAGCTATATTTGAGACGTGTATAAGTGCCCTGAAAAGGGCCTATGTACTGAATAACTATTTGTTGATTTGATTTGAAAGCGTGGAGCAGAAGAGACGAGAGGAGATGTTTTGAATAACTACCAATCTGATTTCGTTACACATCTCTCCGCTTTGGAGAAAACCGTGCCTTACACTCGATTCACTGTAATGCTTACCCCGTTCAAGGTGGATAGATGGACACGCATTTTTAAGTGTCCAATGTCCACCTTAGGATGGATTAACGATATATGCCACTAAATTGAAGTCTTTGAATTACGTGTTTTTGGTGTTCTGCCCAATGAACTAATATTATTTTTATTTTATTTCTTTTCAGGCCTCTTAGTAGGAATCGGAGTTCTCCGGAACCTCGAGAAGAGAAAATGGGAGAAACGCCTCTGGTGGGCAGCAGTCGTCATCTACTTCTCCCTGATGATCGCCGGCATCCTGGCCAACATATTCTGGACCGATCGGTTCTTAGCAACAACGCCTTAAGACGGAGCAGTAAGGTTCCTATTCT